TGTAGCACTGAGTTCCTTGGCTTTTGAAATCCAGCGCTATTCGATCAGCTGCTCAGCTTTGACATCCAGCGAAGTGACAATGAGGCCAGGAGAGCAGATGGCCAGAAGACCAGGCAAGCCACCAACTCTTGGATCAGCTACTTAGGTTCAGCAGCCAGAAAAGCTCTTCGGGCTGCCCACTTGATTGGCCTCACTGCTGCTTTTCTGGCTGCCAAGCCTGAGCAACTAATCCGAGAGCCAGCAGCTCGCCTGGCCTTCCTTGGCTACTCATTCGCCTGGCCTTGTTGCCACTTGGCTGCCAAGCCCAAGCAGCTGATCCGAGAGCCATCCATTTGCCTGACCTTGCCTCCACTTCTCCTGCTGAGCTCAAGCAGCTGATCCAAGAGCCACTTGCTGGCTTGACCTTCCTGCCACCTGCTCACCTGGCCTCGTTGCCGCTTCTTATGCTGCTGAATAACATTCATGAAACAGTATATTTTGACTTATAGGTCCATCAAAGAAACTATTTGAATTAATTTAGAAAAGCCATAGTGAAGAACATTTAAACTAGAATTAATGTTTAAAACATTAACCATTTTCAGTGTTGATAGTTTTAATTAGCAGATTTGGTCTCTTTTAATACATTCCAAATTATCACACACATTTGGAGAACACTTAGATTTTCAATGCACCAGGTAAAAAATATTAAGAGGTTTGTGCTGACAGCTATGAGTATTATGTCAGTGAATAGAGCATAGATGAAATTATAGCAAAACGAAGCTGTTTTGGGATTTGACAGTTTAATACCAATAGGACATTGAAGGATTTGAGTAATTTTTTGCCTCCAGCAAAATTCTTCTATAAGTAACACACAGGAAAGGAGTAATGCTTATAGCGTGTCAAAAAGTGTCAAAAAATCCCATTTCTAATTAAGGACATTTCAATAGGTCTTGAGGATAAGAATTTTCAGAAGGGTATCTGGAAGCTAGAAGCAATTCATGCATAGAAAATATTCAAGTGAACAATCTAGGTTAGGAAGGGAGGAACTCTGGAACATATGTTTCCTTTATTATTTTATGTTTTCTGCTCTTTCTCTATCTGGGTAATTAGATATGCAGCTAGTCTCATTTTTAAAAATTTCTGGGTAGAATAGATGCTGCTGTGATGATACGCATATAATGTACAAAGTTCAATTCAAGCAGTGGCAAACTTTTAGACTGGATCACATTTATGCAGAGTGCATGTAGAGATTGCAGTATGCCATCAGGATTTTCAAGGGCCTTCTAGGGTGAAATGGCAGAAGAGGTGCTTAAATTAACACTGGAGGAAAACAAAGAGTGAATCCAACTGGAGAAAAATAAGAACTTTATTGGAACTTATCTTGGGGCAATGCCCTTTGGCTATCAGTCAGGACAACCCAGTCCCTCCTGGGTTAGTATATTATTTACAGGATAACCGTAAGAATTATTATTGACAATTGATGAATTAAACCAGATTTGCTCTAAGTTGGACTCTAGATGGACAACTCACTGAAGAAGATTGGGGCGCAGTCTTGTAATGATATCTAGAAGGAGTTTGACTCTGCTACTCTTAGAGAGATAGACAAGATTTTCAGTGCTGTGGGTGCATGCACTTGTTATTTTGATATATATCCCTCGTGGCTGGTTAAAAGACTCCAGGGGGGGAATGTGTGAATGGATCTACATGGTGATAGCTATTTAGAGAAGAGTTGTTCTGCTGGCTCTTAAAATCCTTCTCATCTTTGCTAAATTGGACAACTTTCATCAGGCCTATGACAATTTGCCACCAGGCCTATGACAATTTGCCTGCATTCAATTTGCCATGACAATCTTGCCATGGCCATCTTGTTACAGTGTCACCATGGTCATTTTGCCCTTAGCCAACCCACTATGGCCATCTCCCCATGGCCAAAGTGCTGTGGGACAACTCGCCACAGCCAACTCACTGCAGGACAACTCACTGCAGACAGTTCCACATGGGATACTCAAGACAATAAATGTTATCTGCCACTTTTTTTCTGACATTATTTCCATTGATAAAAATGGAATAATGTAAAAAAAAAACAGTGGCAGATAATATTTATCATGCTGAGTTATCCCACATGGAATTGTCTGCAGCAAGTTATCCACAGCTAGTTGTTCCATAGCAATTTGGCTACAGCGAAATGTCAGATGGTGAATTGGCTGTGGCAAAATGACCATGCCAAGATGGCTATGGCAAGTTGGCTGTGGTGAATTGTCCTATTTTGACTTTCACCAGTTCCAACCTGTTGAGAAGGTAGCTGCCCTCCAATTCCATGGAGTCCTAGAAAAAGTAGTTTATCTAGATTCTTTTAGCCTGTTTTTCAACCAGATTATAGTTCTGAAGTACAGGTATTCATCTGTATGATATTCATCACAAAAGTGGCTCATCTTTGGTGAACTTGGACTGGATATAGTGCTGCCATTCTGCCCTCTATTGACATCTTAATTGCCTTCAATACCATGGTATTCTTGTGGACCAGTTTAAGGCATTGAGAGTGGGTTCTTTTTCCTCCTTCATGGCTACTTCCAGTTGGTGTTTCTTGAATTTCTGCAGAGTTTGGACCTTTACTCCCTCCTCTTTAACTTCTACATGAATCCCCTGAGAGAGATCTGTCTAAGGGAGTACAATATTATACCATGGCATATCTTCAGTATCTCTGGCCATCTCTGCACCTGGAGGCTATGAGTTGGAATGAATAGGTTTCACATCAATCTTGCTAAAACAGAGGGTCTAGGGGTTTGGGTGCCTCAGTTATAGAATTGGAAGGTTTCCAATCTTGAGTATGGGGTAGAACTGCACAGTTGGGATTTCTTCCTGAAGTCACAGAAACTGGGTTGTGGCTTTGACAAAGACAACCTTTGCACAAGTTTTTTGTACATGCCAATGAGCCACTTCATGGATTTAGAGAACTTGCTTATGGTCATTCATATGTTAGCCACATCCCAGCTAGATTGTTACAATATACCTTATATGGGACTGCTCTTGAAAACCATCTAGAATCTACAATTGGTCTAGAATGCACTGTGCAGGTAGTTATGCATGCTTTTAACTATGTCCACATGTGACACCATTACTGTGCAATTACTTTGGGTCTCAGCCATTCAAACTAGCAATTAAAGGTGCTGGTTGTCCCCGTTAAAACCCCATATGGCATACAATCAAGTTACACAAGGAACCATCTTCTGCCTATGATACATGTTGTCCTACATCTTGTGATAAGGAAGCTATGCTCTGAGTCACTCACTTCATTAAAATAATGTGATCTTATGAGATTCCAGATTCTTATCAACTTCTCGATGATGGCTCTCATCTTTCAAAACAATCTTCTTCCTGACATTTGGTTGTTATTCTGGCTTTTAGAAATGCTGTCAAAATCTTTTTTCCAAAGCATTTGGGACATTAAAATTCTGATTAGGTGTTATTGCTGTTTGAATCACCATTTATTGTTTTATTTTTGTTTGTTAACATATGTATTACATATTGGGGGTGAGGTTTGCTTCATTTGCTGCTCAGAGTTACTTTGGCTGAGTTGGATAGTCATATAAATGTTTTAAATATACTCTGGTTTTGCTCCAAATCATATAAATAGTGTGTGTGTGTGTGTGTGTAAAAATGACAAATCCATGCCAGAGAAGATATGCTGAAAATATTGTATTTAGTTCTAATCTCCAGACCATTTATTAAAGAGGAGTAATTATGGTGTCAGACATTTCTTTTACTTTTTCAGATCAAATGTCATTTGGGAAAAAAACCTTTAGCCCATAAACATGTTGTGTTGAGCATGATATTTTTGGGAGATTGGGTCAAACACATTTCAGTTTTTTCTTGCATTCTACAAAAGTGAAAATATGTAGAAATTCAAGCATCCGTTTTTTAAATTAATGCTTTAATGTTTTATATTTTTTTTCTATTCCTCTGTGTTCCTACTCTGCCATCACACATTTATTCATTAAATTTATAGCCTACCTTTATTTTTATAGTTCAAAGATGCATGCATAACGCCTGCTCCTCTTCTTCCCACAACAACACTATGGGGCAGGGCTGAGAGAGTATGACTTCGCAAAATCATCTGGCCAAGTTCCATTCTAAGGAAAGCATTTACACTCTTCCAGTTTCTAGTCTAGCACTTTAACCATTACACCAAACCAATGCTGGTGTCCCAGAAGACAGCCTCATTAATACCAGTGGAACCTTCTTTCTAAACCAAATAGTAAACATGTGAAAGGAGCTGTTTGGGATTTTAGAAAATAACATTCATTTTTCTATATTATAATCCTGATGAAAACCTTTTCCTATCTCTGCAAATCATCCATATTTTCTTTTAAAATGCAATAATTAACATTATTATCAGCAAATCCAGATTTGGCCCTAGGTTTAAAGGAATGATAAAAAATCTGCACATACTTTAATATATCAGTAGATTCTGTTATTACATTTGCTTTGAGCCAAACAGTTTAAAGCAATTCCAGCATTAATGATTTTCAGTTGGGAAAAAGCATCCAATGAGTCATTTTCCTGCTGAAATCAATACAACTTTAAAAACCCTATTATTTATTCCATGAAATAACTCATATGTTTATGTTTATTATAAGACTAGTATAAAAACAGTTCTGCTGCATGGTATTTCAGTTGTATAAACTGTTTACTGCTGGTTAGCAATATTGATTGAAGTTTATTCAGCCATGATAAAGGCACTGCATACTATACTTTTAAAGAATTATTTTATTTACAACCACCACCTCACCTATAGTTGTTCAGAAGATTTGGAGTCATTTCACTGTGTGAAATTCAGTACTGTATATAATTGGGTACAGTATAGTGACCATTTCATTTAATCCAACAAGATTGACTTTCTTTTATTCCCTTCCTCTATGATATAGCTAAAATAAATATATAAAAATATTTGGCCTGAATCCTTCTCTTCCAATTTTAGGATGCTCTAGTTATATAATAATGATTATTTCTTCTTCTTCCAGTATATGATGACTGCTGCACCTATGCAAGGGACCTATATTCCCCAGTACACTCCTGTGCCTCCAACAGCTGTCCCTCTTGAAGTAAGTCTATCTTGTATATTTTTATGCAGGTAAAGTCTGCATTGTTTTAATCATTTGGATGAAAATCTTAAGAGTTTTAAAAAATATTTTTTTAAAAAAAACTGTATCCTTGAAGAAATAGGTAGATGCTTAGTTTTTGTTTTCATCCAAGACAAGATGGAATATTCCATGGATAGCTTCTTGCTCATAGGTTAAGAACTGGCACAAATGCTGAGACTTCCGGTTTGCAAGGCTTTGGGGGCGGCAGGAATCCGCGATTGTGTGCGGTTTCTGCTGCGCTCGCTGCTGGAGTGCCCCCAATCCAGCCGGATTTGAGGGCTATTAGTTACCCCGTAGAGGTAACTGAAGACAGGGGAGATCCGGCAGGGGTCCGGAGGAATAGCAACCCCCCTCCTCAGCTGGCTTAACTCCCTTTTCCGAAAGCGGTGGAGTGGCGGTCAGCAATGGCCGCCACAAAGAAGCTTTCATCCGGATAAGAATGTGCAGGAGGAAGCTGAGAAAGTGAAAGTCTTTGGCGGACCGGGATAACAAGTAACATTTAAATACCCTGGAATTTAAGTTTCATTAAAGATACATCGCTCCCGAAGAAGATCAGAAAAAGCAGTGAATGAAAGTAAAAAGGGAAAGTTTGCTTTTTCTCACTCTCCTTCCTTACGGTGATAGCAGATGAAGAGAAATCGGAAAAACCTGTTTTGGCATCAGCAGGTAATCAAATTGGAAAATTAAAGCCAAGGGGACAATAAAGATTTCTGAACATTGGGGAAAAAAACAACAACCTTTTTTTGCTATAAGTGGGAAGGGAGAGGAAAAGAATTAATATTAAGATTTTGCTGGAGGAGGCTGCTTGGAATTTATAAGATCAGAGCTAAATTGCAACAAGACTTCTAAAAGATATATTCTAATTGGAACTTTGCAACTGAACTGCAACCCCAGGAAGAGAAAGTATAAAAAGAAGAAAGTGCTAAATGAAACAGTCTGTGTGTATTTGGATTGCTTGGTGACTTTGGGACCTTTGGAAATTATTATTTGAAAGACTAAAAACTTTTGGGTTGTTTAAAATTTTTTTCACAATGGCATTACTTGTTGATGAACTGAAAATGGAATTTAAAAAGCTAAAAGAAGAGGAACAAGAAGGGAAGGGCTCTTCTGGATCTATTTTTCATTTTTTAGAAATGGCGATTTCTACCTATCAGAAACTACAAGAACAAGAAGATTGGGATGAAGAAGAAGCCATCTTTAATGAACAAACAACTCTAGCTGGGGAAGAAAAGGGAAAGAGGGAAAAGAGAATGGAGAATTCAAGACCTAAAAAAACAACCAAAAAAGGGAAAAATAAGGTGAAAAATTGATATAATTCAGAAAGCAACAGAAAAGAGGAATACAGAAGAGGGTGGAGATCAAGAGGCAAGGGAATAAAAAGGCTAGATTGGAGAAGAAAGGAAGGGAAAAAAGGAAGAGAAGTTACAATGGTTTGAAACAAGATGTAAAGAAACAGGATTTATTCAGATATAATGGGTAAAAATATAATTAAAAAAGAGAATCTGCAGAAGTACATAAGACTGTATTGTTGTATTTATATTTGAAATAAAGTTAGAAAACTGGAACATTATATGATTATAAAATGGGATAAAATATTAAAAGGAATGTGTAAAATGCTTAAGATTTAATGATAGAGTTTAATTTGCTATGGATTATTGTTTTAATTATATTATAAACTTATTATTCTTTTTCATTTTAAAATATAGTACATAGCTTTAGATTGTACTAAGCAGAATCAGAATGAAAATTATATATTATTTTAAGTGTTAAATTTAGGGGAAAGATAAAAAGGCATCATACTTCAATCAGTGATTACAGGAGAAATTTTGTGTTAATGAGAAAAGATAATAGATAATTGAAACAGAACAGACAAAAGATATAAGCATAATGATTTAAATTGAGATGAAATAAATAAAACAGAAGTAAGAGAATGAAAAGAGGGGAGAAGCTATATAGAAAATGTAGAATGGTTAATAAGATATGAAATGGGATATAAAGTGAGCATGAATTCGAATTTATGTCTGTACAAAAAGATGTAACCCGGGACTAAGCCGCTTTCCAAAAAGAAGTTTTATGTTTTTTGTTTTGTTTGTGTATCTTTGTTTATTGAAAATTAATAAAAAAATTATTTAAAAAAAAGAAATGGCACAAATACTATCTCTTTAGACAAAGGAAAAAAGACTTCAAAGAATATTTTGATTCCATCTTACCACAACGATAAGAACTACTAGCAACTGCTAAAGCCAAGAGCGACCACAAAACAGGACTTGGAAAAAAGAAAAACTTTCCTCATAGATATCATTATGATCTTTAGGATCTGATCCCAAGCTTTATCCCAAAAACAACCAATCAAACAATGAGATAGGAAGTGATAGAAAGGAAGAAAAACTCAGATATAAAGTAGGAGATACAAGAAACCGTATGTCAAAGATAAAGAACTCAAATGCCTAACCACATGTGTTCAAAGTTTGGTGAACAAACAAGATAAACTTAAATTTTACTTTAAACATTACTGAAACTTGGTGGGGTGAACTCATGATGTATAATAGAAGGATACAAACTATTCAAAAGTAACAAATCTAACAATAGAGGAGGTGAGGTTGCAATATATGTAAGAGCATTGCATCTCTACAAAATGCACAAAACCATGAATGAAAGCCTCCTGAAATACATATTGGTCAATATAAAATGAAAAAAAGATATTGTCATAGGTATATACAGTGGGTCACCCAACTCCCAGAAGAAATATATACCTTTTTGCTAATCAGTTAACAAATGGAGAAATAATCAGTTAAGTAATGGAGAATTTTAACTGCCTGACATCAACTGGGAAACAAACTCTGTATCAAGTGAGAGATCAACAGCAAAGGTGGGATGCTACCAGTTCGGCCCAGTTCGATAGAACTTGTAGCTACAAAGAGGAGCTGACACCGAACCGGTTCGGTGTTTGGTCCACCCGCCTGCCCCGGCTTTAGGCTGTCCTTTATTCCCTGCTTTTCCCTCCTCAGCTATTTTGCACAGCACAACTGAGGTTGAAAAAGCAGGAAATGAGGATTTTCAAATGCTGAGCACCCGAGCGCAGTGCTTGTCAGTGGTCCAGGCAGCACAGCTGATGATTTCTTGCAAATACTGCACACAGGATTGTCCCCAGTTCAGAGAACCGGCAAATCACTCCACTGGCTGGCTCCAACCCTCCCTGCCCACTGACTCCTTACCTGGCATGCGAGCCATCCAACTTGCCTGTTTGGTAAGTTGCTATTTTTCCTTTTTTTTTTCCCTGACCATCAGCTGTTCTGCTCTGCCAGGAGGTTTAGATTAGCTAGAAACCAGGAAATCCTTGGATTTCTTGCTTTATAAATAATCTAAAAGCAGAGCCACAGGACTGAAGCTTTTCAGTGCAGATTCAGATAGCCGATTGCAGATAGATAAATCTCTAAGTGAATCTGTGATTCTGTGAGCAACTCAATCTGCCTGCCTGCTTTGCCTGCTTTTGGGTAAAAGTTGCTCTTTTTAAAAAAAAAAAAATCAATATTTACATAAATATTTATAATATTTGCATACAAGCCATGCTCACCCAGTCACATGACCACCAAGCCACACCCACAAATTAGGCCATACCCACAGAACCGGTTGCTAAGAAATTTGAATCCCACCCCTGATCAACAGGCTGGCAACTTTGTCATCCAAATGTAGAAGAGGGAAATAGAGAGACAGCTATACTATATCTAAGTCTTCCTAACAGAGAAGAAGTGATAGAAGGGGTTGAAGTGGCCAGAACTTTGCAGGAGACTAATCATGTCATATTGGAATTTAATATAATGCAAACACAAACAATAAAACATAATCAAAGCATTTAAAAGATCTGATTTTAACAGACGGAGCTTAGAAAGGATTCCATGGATGAAAATATTAAAGGAGGAAAAAATTCAAGAAACTATGGAAACTCTCAAAAATATGTCCAGCTCAATAGCACTGAAACAGAAAAACAAGAAATCCGAGAAGAAACTAGCATGGTTACACAAAGTATACTCTGATAAACTGAAAGACAAAAAGTATAAGTACAAAAAAAAGGAAAGAGGGACACATAACTAAGGCAGAATATCAACAAATAATCCAAACTTGCAAAGATGAAGTCAGAAAAGCTGAACAAGCAATAGAGAGAAAGCAGAGCTATTTAATTCATCTTTGCACTTGTCTTCATGCAAAAAGATAATCCAGCCCAATCTATCAAAAACATAACATAAAAGACAGACTAGGAATACAAATTAAAATAAGTATGTTCTAGATGAATTTACATGATCTGATGGATTCAATCCCAGAGTTGTAAAGGAACTGATAGAGATGTGATCTCAAAATCATTGAACCACGTCTTTCAAAGATGCTGGATCACTGAGGAGTGGACTGGAAAAGAGCATGTGGTTCCCATGTTCAAAAAAAAAAAAAAAAAAGAGGCGGGGAGGAGCAGAATCAGGAAACAGACAATCAGCCTGACATCAATAGCTGGAAAGATCCTTGAAAAGATAATCAAGCAACAGATTTATAAACACCTATAAAAACCAGGTTCTTTTTCTAAAGAACAGACCATCTTCGATCAGATATTGTTGAATGAAAAACTGATTAAAAACTATATAACTTTCTATTAAATTTGAAAATGGAAGATGAGATCTATGAACACCTAGAAGCAAGCAAAATTAGATGGCAACATGGGTTTGTCAAAAACAGATCATGCCAAACAAATCTTATTTCATTTTTGACAAAGTGATAAAATTAATGGACTTGCAAAATGTAGTGGACAGAGTATATTTGGATTTCAGTATGACATTTGACAAAGTAGACCATAACCTACTTCTTGGTAAGTTAAAAATAAATATCAGATAGACAATATCAACACCAGATGGATTTGCAACTACTGACAAACAGCACTGAATGTGTAGTCCTTAATGAGCTACATCTACATGGAG